AGGCTGGACATTCTTCTTGCATGATCCGCTCACAGAGTCATAACAGTACTGTATTTCTACATATACATCACTGATGTGGCTTGAGTTGTTCAAGAAGATCATGCTACAGAAGTCCTGAAGGCTTAGTACTGTAAGAAGATCCCTCTGGCTGCAGTCTGTGATGCTCTGGTTTATATAGTGAAATTGCCAAGACTTGTTGCCATGGGGCGTGAGAGAACAATATTCACTGCTGTGCTGTAGGGACAATATACAAGAGTGAGTAACGTACTCAGGGGATGGGAAGGGCCCAAACACTCATTTGTTATTGTTGAACATATCAAGATATGGACATCGGAACTTGGGGGGTGGGGGGGGGCACTTGGACCCGTGCCTGGGCCCCTTTTGGGGGCATCATTAAGAATGCACTGATAAAGAGCATCTGCAATATTAGCTAAATCTGAACATGCATCACGAGGCAAAAAAATTTGCACTGTGTGTTGAGCACGTGTCTACATTTCCAAACAAAGAAGAGGCGGCAGGTTATGTCTGCAGTTTCCACAGCCCATGTATAACCATACACTTGTTATTTTTTGTATATTTCCAAATGAAATGTAAGGTAGCCATTTACAGTTTATATACTTCAAAGTTTACTCCATCAAATTTTCATCATCTCTTTAAAGCTGTTTCAGTTCAACTTGGAATCATTTTAACACTAGAAATATTAAGCCTGGGCAGATTTGTGTAGGTCTTCAGCTCTATTGTCCTGCTTTTGTTGTGCAAACACACTAATCACCTGTGAACCCTGGCACATTTGCATTTACTCAGACTGGTTGCTCAAATCCAAGTCAGCCCAAACCTATGTGTGACATGGAAACCTTCACAAAAGCCTGCCATGTCTATACAAAATATCGCACACACTGACTGACCTGCAAATATGAAAGACACACATTCACAAAATATATGGAAACACAAGTCTTTTATTTATAAAAAGAGTGAAAATAGAATGAAAACACGTTAACACATCAGTCTCCAGTGTATGTTTGTATACAAATGTCATAAGCTGAGTGAAGTCATGGTCCATGGTTGATAACATGCTTGTACACGTATAGAATGAAATAATGTCATTTCATTTTCACGCCCCATTTTGATTGGCCATCACTGAATTATAAAACCAAAAGTGAATTTTGTTTCGTGTGATCTTTGCATGTTCTCTCCTCTGGCTGTTCATGTAAAAATAGCAAAAATTGTAAAATAAAAAATAAAAATTCAGCCCCTCAGTTCCAGGTTCATCTCATCATCTTTCTGCCTTTTGTCTCAGTGGTTACTCTCCCACACAGTCTGTCTGTCTTTCAAAGTCTGTGTTTGCAGCGTTTGCAGACCCAGTGAACATCGTCCCTACATTTCCGGCAGGTGTATTTGTAACACTTTGCACAGGTAAACCTGCTGCGATTTCTGTTGCAGTTCTCTTGTCCATACAAGTCCTGGCACAGCAGCAACAAACGCTGCAGCAGCCTTCCTCTCTGCCTCTATTGTCTTTTGCTGCATGGATTGGAGTTCCTTGGCCAGAAGACTCAAAAACAATCTTCTTTTGCCTTTCCACACTGTACACGCCTTGTACAGAACATAGGCATTCACCGCACCAGGTCCAGCATGTTGTAAAATACGGCTACTGGCCACCTCTGTGTTGGTTCTCGTACTGAATACATGCGAGTCATTTGGTCCAACACATCTACACCACACTGAAAAAGCAGAGAGAGAAAGACATGAGCATATGTGCTTTTTTTCTACCCGATATAGGCCTGTATAGTACATATCACAAAACATTGTAGCACTGGTGTAAAATTATACACACATTCACATACGTTCATGTGGTTGTACTCTGTTATTGTGTTGGGTTTCCTCTTTCTGTCATCCCCGATCGCCACGTCTCGGTGCAAGGAACTCATAAGACACACAGTTTTCGTTTTTTTTCGGTGAGTAGATCGTCAAGGAGACACTGCCACTTCTTAACACTGACGTGGAGAATTCCTCTCGCTCTGCAGTGTCCTTTGCTGATGGAGGAAGTTCACGGCGAACTTTATTCACCGTGCCCAGTAGAGTCGTGTTGCGCTGAAGCAGTCTGTGTGACAGTGACAGTGAGGTGAAGAAATTGTCCGTTGTGACATTTCTCCCGTCGTCCAGAAATGGCTCCATCAGACTCATGACTACATTCTCTGCCAATCTGTCTGTTTTCACCCGTTCTGCCTGCGTGTGCTTATCAAATCGAAGGTGTTGCATAATTGAAAGGAATCTATCTCGGGACATTGTCTCTTTGATTACTGGCACCAGAAAGCTTTCTGGCCAGCAATCCACAATGGCACCAACAGGACACATGATTGTTCTCACCAACAGAATAGAAATGAATGCCATCAGTTCATGAACTGTCAGCTTCCAGTCCGGCTCTGTTCTGCGGGCATGTTGGACCTTACACTCTGTGATGGTCTGCAGCATTCCCATGTCAAACAGGCAGAAGAAGCTTTGGAGCAAGCTTGTAATTTCATGCCGTCCGAAGATAAACAAATAGAGAATGGTAAATTTACATGAACCTCACTCTAAATGGGTTTATATAAATAATACATGGGTTTATATAAATATCATATGTATGCAATGACAAACCTTAGCAGACTCTGTGGGTCCAGTGCGCGCAGTGAAGCACAAGCGATGTGCTGATGCACTGGGCGTTCCGCTTCCAATGTCCTCCTCTACCCACACAGTGCCGTCTTTTGCAGTCTGGCGCGGACAGGGCTTCCCGGTACCACGGCGCATCTTCTGTGGAGGCATGTCAGGTTCTCGCTCCGTCTTCATTTTGGACTTTTTCGATGAGGCATCAGTGACCTGCTGGACAAACGAAACCTGGCCTCCGTCAGTCTGCTGCGTCCATTTCATGGAGCAGGGCCAAAGCCTGTGGCGCGGAGAGGCTCTTCCTGAAGCGGAGGCCATCCTGATGTGCGTTTTCAGAAATGCGAAGAAGAAATGATTCTCCCGTAACTGCAGTGACAGTAACTGCTATTGTTGTTTGAAAAGCTAGATCTGCAGACTCCTTGATTTATTATATAGTACTACGTGGTTACTTACTGGGGCTGGGGCTTGTGGGCTATTGGCCAAAAGAATTTTTAAAGTCTGAAGTTATGTAGCAGTCAGCATGGTCTCCTGGGAAGCTGGCAATTAAAACTAAAAACTAAAATAAACAAGCACGAATACTTTAAATTAAAAGCGAATTAAACTTTGCACGGACAAGAGGCGGAAATGGACCAATTTGGAGTTAGCGTACGTCAGATTTACGGAAGTGACATGGTATTGTTTTTTTTGCATGAGCTCTTTAGATCTTTACAATTAAAAAGATATTTGGTCGTATTTTTTTTAAATTATGTGTTCAATCTAGGGGTGCAACAATGCATGTATAGATTCAACGGCAACGACGTGACCGCGTAAATGTCGATGCAAGCCTTTTTTTCCCTCGCCGTTTCCGGTATTGTTTTCATGATCCACTCCGACGTATACATGTGGTCTACACCAGGGGTGCGCAATACGTCGCAAAGATAGTGTGGGTAGATCGTATGGCATAAAAAAAATAGAAGATGGATGACTCGCGCCAGCTGCCGCAAATCTCTAGCAAGCTACGGAATCCACTAGTTAGCCTCCAATTTATTTCTACTAAACTTAAGAAAGGGTATAAAAATGAATGGGGGAACTGGACCAAGTAAGAAGCCAAAAACCTACCACTTCCATACGGAATGGGAGGAGGACTGTTTTTTTTCACCATGTCATATTCGAAGTGCATTTGCCTCATCTGTCAGTCAGCCGTTGCTATTCCGAAGAAGGGAAATGTGGAGCGGCATTTTCTGACTGTTCATAACAAACTATGACATTACCTTCCCTCCGAAAAGCGAGCTGAGAAATAGAAAGGTGAAGGAACTAAAATTCCAGTTCAATTCAAAAATACTTTATTTATCCCAAAGGGAAATTAATAATAATAGTAATAATAATAATATTAAAGAATATTCAATATTTTTATACATAAATATATGTTTTGTATTTTTATAGTAGGTAGATCATTCTGACTTGGTCATTTATAAGTAGTTGGCAAGCTATAGCGTACCTTCAGATCGAGCGTGTGTTTAGTACGGCAGGTGACATATATATGTAGGACGCTATACGCTCAGAGCACACAATCTCCTGAAAACGTTGACCATTTAATTTTAAAACCGCTCAAAGAAGATTACTGACATACTTGTTTCACCGTAGAAGTCAGTCATGTTAATCTTCCTCATTCTACATGTCTGTCCATGCAATGTTTTTATTTTTACCTTATTGCACTTTATTTTGCTTGTTTTATGGGACATACTTGACTAAACTAGATTTTGTTTACAGTTCCCAATAAAATATGATAAAATGCTAATTATATTTGCCTTTTTTAATTCATTGAAATGTAAAGGATTGTGTGAAATTGAATCATTTCGACTACTAACCCCAGTATCGAACTGAATCGAAACGTATCGTAGGAATTTCTGAGGTATCAGAAAAAAGCAAACCGTTGGCTTAAGGAATCGATATTGTATCGCGAGGAAAGCTGTGATTTACACCCCTTGTTCAATCGCACTGAGACGTGCTACCATGAATGCACTAATCAAATATAGCATGATATTTAACGTTTGAGTTTTAAGAAAGATAATGTACTCTTATTATAGAACTTCCACAATCTAGGAACATTTACAGTATTTTCCATCATGCATTGTTTTGAAATCCACATATGTATGTTAAATACAAGGCATATTCAAATGTTATGATTAAGACAAATCTGATTCGTAAAATCTGGAAGCCTGGAAGTAGGATGGGCTGTTAATTACTGTGGAATTTCAGGTTTTACTGTCACCTGTATTCTGGGTGGGTACACAGTGAAATTCTTCTGTCACAGTTGCTGGGGGGATGGGGGGGCATTGGATGGGTGCATGGAGGGTCAGGACAAACAGCAGTGCAAAATTGGCAGGACAGTACAATAAAAGAATACGTAGACACAATATTAAGTAATGTGGCATAATATGATGTGGAATAGCATGGATGAGGTAGCTATGTGGGATGTGCAACAATATAGTATGTAATACTACATTTTCATGAGGTTTTATTAGAAGCACAGAGCTGAAAACAGAGGCCAGGGGACTCATAAAGTGTAATATTGTTTTGAATCGCCCAGGACGGCTGATCATCATCTTATAACTAATAACTGATAAATAAAATCTATACTGATTAGGAGGAAGTGGAATCTGTACAACAGGGATTATGGTGCCAATTATGGCACAGGGAACAATTAACAGATCAACTGATATCTCTCAGGGTTTTCTTATTACTGAGGAACTTTAGATAATAAGATCTATTTATTTATATTTACCATTTAAACAAGTTCGAGTATTAGGTACATAGGAACTCTTTGATTTTCACCTATCCTGTCTTAGTATATTATGAGAAACACAGACTCACATTTACAGGTGAGAGTGAAGTTTGGGGTCAGAGCGCAGAGTCAGACATTGTGACTGTTTAGAGGAAGAAAGACTGAGTGTGTGATTAATGTGCTGAGACGGCCCCACTCCAGTCTT